GGGAGCTGGAGATTGAAAGTAAGAGTTGACAGGTGAGGGGAATGAGAAAGACCTTCACATATTTCTCTACAATTCTCAGCTAGCCAGGCGCTTTTAGGTAAAAAGTACCATTCTCCATTGTTTCCAACTGTACCAGAAGGGCAGAAGGAGACTACTGGAGTTACATTTTTATTCTGCTTATTTATAGATTTAAATTTTTTGTGATACTGAGGATTGACCCCAGGGCCTTCACACTGGGCTGCATTCTCAGTCCTTTTTTATTGTCATGCAGGGTTTTACTAAATTGCACAGGGTGGGCTCAAATTTGTGATCCTCCTGCCTCAGCCTCCCAGAGTGCTGGGATTCCAGGCCTGGAGGTAGCGGCTGCTGCGCTGTGGCTGACTACCCGTCAGCTGTGCCCTCTGGGCCCCAGGATTGCTGTGGACATGGCATGTGCTGGGGCGGAAAGGGTATTTCTGGGAACACGTTGCCATCCTGGCCCAGATGTGCTGGCAAGAGGGGACCTGGCTTGCCTTGTAAAAGGAGCTCCGGAGCAAATCATTAGCACATCTAACCTCAATATTTTGAAATCCAGAAACAACATTGAGTCATGCTGGTCATACTGTAAAGTTTTATTGCTCTTTTTATATATATATAAAAACAGACTCAAAAACAAGCTGGGAATCATGTGAATTATCTTTTTACATGTGTCAAGCCCAGAAATTTGGCACATGAGTCAAAGTGATGGAATGGAGCAGGGAAGCCACTGGGAGAGTGTGGCTAGAGGAGTCCCTGCAGCCCCGGGAGCGCGTGGCACCTCGTCAGGCCATCCCCCATTGTCTGAGCTTTGAAAAGCAGGGGCCGTAAATGCCGTTCATCCTATGCTAAAAATAGAGGTGTGTGTAAGGCAAGAGAAGCCAGAGGGGAAAAGTACCAGTCCCGAGACACTGATGTGCGTCTTCCAGGGTCTCGTGTCCCAGCCTTGACTCTGTGAGCCTGTAAAGTCAGGGATCTTGGACAGGATTTGCAGAAGGAAAATAAAGGAATTAATTAATCCTTCAAGAATGCTGGGAAAACTCAGGGCTCACCGATGACGAACACCCCTGGCCACCTTTCCCAGATGCTTTCACGAGTGTCCAAGTCAACCTTCTCTGGAAACAGTCTGCAGTGTCACTTCAGGTGTCAACTTTGTAACAGTTCTTCAGTAGCCAAGAGGCCAGGTCAAGACACCCAAGGCCCGAGGAGCAGATGCCTTCCCAAGGTTCCCAGGCTGCCCAGGGTCACTGCACCTAAACTGACCAAAATCCAGGCTAAAAACTTGAACAGTGAGGCACACTGAACAGACAAACAATCCGATAAAGGACTTTAGATGACAAACAAGCAGGCTTGGAGGGTCAGGTATAAAGTAGATTATAAAGCTATAATAATTAAACCAATATAATATTAATGCCAGGATGGACCAAAAAATCAGTAAATGAGAGTACAGTGTTTAAAAGTAGACCCAAAAAGTGTAATATTATATGATAAAGCAGCAAGTCCATTTAGTGAGGAACAGATAGATATTACCGAAATATGCATATATAATAAACATGAATAGTGCATTTATTACTAAGTTGTGAGTGCATACTATACATGTATTCTGTGTGTATTACTAAATTGTGCATGGCTAACTATTCAGAAGATGAAAAGGTTTAGGAGGTGGGGGTTGGATAGTTTGTTAGTAGAGTGCTTGCCTAGCATGCTTGAGGCCCTTGGTTTCCTCTCCAGTACAATAAAGTTAGAGATTCAACTCAGAGCTTATATCAAAAGAAATTTCAGATGAATTAAGATAAGTATTTAAAACCATGAAAGAAAGAAATGGAGTGATTTGTACAATTGCTTTATGAGAAGGGAAGGTTTTATGGCTTATGCTGTATCTAGATGTCCCCTCAAAGCTTCAGGCACTCATTGGTGGGGCTGAATCATGAGTGTGAATTATGGATTGAGGGTGTGTGATCCTTGATTAAAGGTGTGTGATACCTAGATTAGTCCATTGGTTGGCTTAGCATAGCTCAGGGTGAGGATAATGGGATGGCCCACAAGGAGTGCAGGTGGCACCAACCAATAGGCTTAGAGTCCGAATGGAATAAAAAAGGGAAGGAAGGTTGACTGCTGCTTGCTTTCTGCTTCTCCTGCTGTGGACTGTTCTCCTCTGCCATGCCCTTCTTCCATGCTGTTCTGTATGGGTGCCTGCCAACTACGGACTGAAACCTCTACAAGCTGTGAGCTGAAATAAATCTTGCCTCCTTTAAACTCTAGGAGTCAGATATTTTGTTCTAGCAACAAGAAAGTAACTGATATGGAAGGCTTTCCTAAGCATTACAGAAGAGGTAGAAACTGTAAGGGAAAGACATAAATGTGTATAAAACACAATTGGTACACGCACAGAAAGAACCACGAGAAAGGCCAGTGAATAACCAGCTCATCGGAGAAGCCAGGTTTATATATTTTTAAAAAGTGTGCTGCTTGAAATAAAACATTTAATTCTCACACCATCACTAACTCATAAACAGCTACATTTATTCAGAATATTCAGAATATTCTGGATAAAGGATATTTTACTGAACTTTTGAAAAGCTGTTAAAATGACCAATGCTGGTATTAAACAAAAAGCAGTAGACACATGGATGTTCATTTTAACATATTGTGAAAATAACAACAGAGGAATTTAATAACCTGGATGTCTAACAAAAGGGTTTCAATTAAACTGATCAGAGTAAACTGATAAAGTGATATGTAGGTTTTATTAAACATGTCACAAGAAAATATTTATTGGTGATAGGTAATTGTCACTGAATTACAATTGAGTGCAAAAAGCATTCTATAATGTGCCATACACAGTCCGTGGCACATACTTGTGACTGAAGATGTGACATTAATCTCTTCTGCGGTGGCCTTCCCAGTGCCTGGTACGCAGCTTGCCACTCCTCAGTGTTAAAATTCTTGTTAAATTAATACGAGACAAAAATGTGTTTCACTGTTACCAGTGAATTTCTCTTTTTAATTTTTACTTTGAATATTTACGCTTTGGGAATATTTTCTTTTATGTATTTTGCATTAAACATGTGACTTTTATAGTTGGAAAACACTTGACTGTTGGTGAAATAGGGCCTTCCTTTCCTCTAGTCGTACGCTCACCGTTGTGTCTGCAGATGACTCTCTGGAGACCCTCCTGCTTTCTCACTAGGGTGGCCCTCACCGTGGGGCAGGCACAGGCCATGGTCATCCCCATCACACACTTCACCCTCAGCGCCCAGAGGGATCTTCTATCTGTCTGCCTGCTGCTCTTCTACAACTAGGGCCTCTCGTGGAGGGATGCTCTGAATGCCCACTGTCTGTTCACCAGGTGGTTCTCTTCTCACCTCTCCAGCGATAAACCGAGTGAACTTGTTCTGCATCCCGTAATCTATGTCCTCCCTTAATCTACTGTATGCTCGGCAAAATGACCACAAACTGCCATGCAAGCGGTTTTCTCCTTCCTTTCCAGGTAGTATTTTTGGTGGAAAATATACCTGGTATACCCCAAATTTAGCTAAAATGCAGGCACATGAGGGGGAAGACCTCCCATCGAGGCTGTGGGTGATGGTCAGTTGTGAGGTTTTTGGCTGATCTCCTGTGTAAAGGCGTAGGCCAGGCAGCTCCTGAACAGCCAAGCAACTCCAGTGGAACTGGGGCAGGACCAGGGCCGGGAGGACAAGCTCCACTCCTCGGCTTTGTCTTTCCCATCCCTCCTTTTATGGTCGCTCTTTTGGATGTGCTGATGGAGAGAGACCTTGGTGCCCTCAGTGGGAAACCCTAGGGCCCAGAGGACAATGGTGACATATCCCCTTCTACAGGACAGGTGCGGACACTGCTGGGACCTACTGCCGCAGGGCTGTGCTCTGCTCCACAGATCAGCCCAACTGCCTTCCTTTTTTTAGTGGTGACAAAGTTTCACATTCATGAAAGGTAGGAAAGAAACAGAAAGGTAGGGGAAAATGAGCACTACAGAGAGAGCTTAGGCCAAGTAAAAGTAGGAAAAAATAAAAATGCACGATAGCTCCAACTCCCTCTCCACACTCAGCTCTTCTCCTTCCCCCACCCCTGTGCTTATTGTAGAAAGGGCTCCCATCATTGCCCTGGCACTGTTCTGGGAATCTTGCAGATCGGAGCAGAGGAAATAATGGACGATTTCACAAGTAAAGGAAAAGCTGGAGCGGGAGGAGGAACAGTACAGCAGAGGGCCAAGGTACGGACTGGAATTGTGACAGGCCCTCAACCAAGTCGTGGTAAGAGCTCTCGTCAGGATATCAAAAAATGACCGCATGTCTGACTGATGCCCAAACACTCATCCTTCCCTGGGCCTCCTGGCCTTTAGTATCCAACTTTATGCAGCAGTTCTCTGAGGTTCAGAAGGGATGGAGCTCTGAAACAGGGGTAGCAACTAACTGCTCAGAGGAGGGAGAGAAGTGGGGGGAGGGAAATGAGAGGAGAGGAGGGGAGGGGAGGGGAGGAGAGAAGAGGAGAGGAGAGGAGAGGAGAGGAGACGAGGAAGCCATTGGTTTCCTATCCTACTTCCCCAGTGCTGGCCCCAGACCTGCACATCGGAAAGACCCCGGAAGCCCCACCTCCTGGGTTGACCTTGGGAAAGTTCTCCAGTCTGTGTACCCCAGCTCATGGCCCAGCCACCTGCCCACACAGCCGTTCCTGAGGCCTCCCTTGGGTCGGCTTCTGTTCCTACAACCTCTGCCCAGAGAACAGCTCAGGAAAGGAGGGATGCCCAGTAAGCACAGGCTACATCGTTCCGCCAGCAGCTGCCTAGCGAGCAGCTGCCATTTAGGGACCCCATGCTACATGCTTGGGTATAAGAAGGGGGAAGGCACAGCCCTGGTCCTCGAGAAGGGGCAGATGGCAGCGTGCCCAGTGGTCAGGCCACCGCTGCCCGGCAACACCAGCCCTCATCACAGAGGGTGCTGCCAGGGCACAGGGCGATGGAGCAGACACAGCGCTGGGTGTGGGGGAGGGGTGCCCCTCTTACCAACTCCTCATGGAATCATATGACGGGAAGAATTGGGAAATGCCCCAAGGAAGTACTAAGACTGCTTTTTATCTCTTCTTACACATTTTTTAAAAATTCATATTTTATTATATTTTCTATTTTCTTTCAAGTTTTCATTTTTCTCAGCACACGTTTGCAGTGCACAATGACCACGCTCACCCGGGAGGCTGAAGGTGACACGGCACGTCTTCATTCTTGCTCCATCCCCTTCCCCCTCTTCTCACCCGTCCCCCCTTCTCTTGGCCCCTTTCCCTTCTGCGAACGATCTATCTCTCTGTTTCCTATTACAATTCACCTTTTACAAGCCACCTGTGTGTGCCCCTGCCCGTTCACCCTCTCCCCGAGTGTTGTCAACAACCCTGTTCACTGCAGCTCTGATCAAGGTAAGATAGAAAACCTGACGCTTTTTCTTATCATTGATGTAGAAGCCAAACGACCTAAACATTAGAGCAGGCTTTTTTTGTTTTGTTTTTTTTTTTGGTTTTTCTTTGGTACCAGGAACCGAACTCACGACCTTGCGCTTGCCAGGCAGGCGCTTCTGCCACTGAGCTAAATCCCCAGCCCCCCAGCAGGCTTTTTTTGTTTTTTTCAAAAATTAAATTTCTAGGCTAGGAATGTAGCTCAGGGGTAGAGCGCTTGCCTAGCATACACAAAGCCTGGCTTCCATATCCTACACTACAAATCATAACCGTCATCAGAGTCATCAGAACGCCCCGGCAGTCCAGAGTTCTCTGCAAGTGTTAGGGCTTGTCCCAAGCCAGCGCTTGCTCGGGACATGCAAGCAGAGCAAGGACGGAGGGAAACGCGACTACTCTGGAGCCACACGTGTGAATACACAGGAACTCCACCAGCAACTGATCACCCTTGTCAGCCGGCTTGAGAATGTGACAGATTAAGGTCCCCCTTTATGTTAAAATGTACGGAAGGAAATGTAAAGATTCAGTGTGTGCCGACTTACACCCATAAGACAAAGACAAAAAAGAGGTGACATTCTGTATCAGTAATTCTGGAACACCCAGGGCTCTTCAGTAGCTAAGGCAAGCTAATTTGGGTGGGGAGGTCATCTTGATCTCCTCACACAGCCTTAGAGAGAAAGTAGCAGTTATGCCTATATCATATGCTCCCGAAACTTAATGGTGTGGATTTTACACCCTGTTGAGGAAAGTATCCATAACTTTTATTCTGGGAGGCAGGAGTAGCTACACTGTCACATCTTCTCTCCCAATCTTTGAAATCTTAAGCAAAGCTTAAGGTGTGACATATTCACTTGGAAATATTTCAGTGGTGAATGGGAGAATGCAGAGAAATGTTAGGAGACAGGGAGCAAATGTCCACAAATTAACCAAAGCCAGGGATGTGTTCAGGGAGAGCAAGTGGTCTAATTAGAATGAAGCCCTCGCTCACTGGGAGATGCTGCTACAACAGTCTGGAGTCTTGGAGGCTTGTTTTACCAAACGAAATGTTTTTTCTGCTCCACATTGACCCAGAACGTTACACAGCTTAGTTTTACTGAGAAAGCACGGGCAGCATATCTCCAAGGCTGCAGCAAGGATGAGACTATTCACCCCACTCTCTTCAAGCAACTTGATGTAAGAGCCTCACCAGTTACATGATGCGACCAGCAGGCTTCCGGTTCCCAAACCATCCCTTCCCAGTGCAGCAAACAAGAGCCATAAACTGTGGCAATCAGCCAAGTGTGGTATGTAGCTTGACTTGCCCTCATTTGTGTGTGTGTGTGTGTGTGTGTGTGTGTGTGTGAGAGAGATTTTTGTTCTTTGGTCCTGGGACACATTATCATTTCTGTATTTGTTTTGTTTATATTTGCAAAATACAAATTGTGATTTTCTGCCTGGGAACACCACAAAGTCCTTCCTCACCAATACTGAGGCCACAGAAAACTCACAGATTTCTCACAGAGGAAGCTTTAGACTCCTATTAGATACAATAATATTCATAGCACATTCATACAATAAGATACTCCTGTTTTCCTTTCTGTAAAGTGAAGTAGAAAACTGAGATCTACCTAAGTACTAGGAAGAGCAAAGTTTAAGGTATCCTTATTGACTTCTTCAAAAATACCTTACAAAAGCCTCTTGAACTATAAAAGATATTTCCATAATTTTCTAGAATTTTCTATCTATATGATCTACACAGTTAGGGTATCTTTACATTAAAGATACATTAAAAATAATGATTCCAGAGATATGTCCCTTACCCAAAGAAAAGGTTAAAGGCCATCTTTTAACAGAGCTTCCCAGCCAATCAGTCTTCACAGAGAGCTGGTACAAGGAATTATCTCACAGAGGATATGTATTATGAGTAGCCGGAAACTTCCTACACTGGTCAGTTTTCTTTCTCCACACTCCTCACCAATCCCTCAGTAGCATGTTTTTGGTGACATGACTGGATGTAAAAATTGTTCTTCTTTTCTGGAAACGTCAGGTGTTTTGCCGTGGCATGGAGGGCTGTTGTTATTTGTCTAGCCATCTAAAATAAGTCCTTTGGGTCCAAGAGCACCTCTACCTTTAAAAGCTGTGATCACTGCTACCAAATGCTCCCGGGCGCCGCTCTTCAGATGAACTGGCTGCGTTCCAGCCAGGACTGGGTCTTTCAGAACCGTCACCAACAGAGCTATCAATACCATTGTTTCCTTTCTATAGGTGAAGCAGCTGGAGTTCTTTCGTCATCAGAATCTCTTCCATGGCGCTGGAGTGAGCCTGTTATTCACTGTCCTGGTTTTCCCTATAAGGATAGATCACAGAAGGCTCATTTGAAAATGTAAATATTTTATTTGAGAGGGACTCAGTCTAATAAACTTACTAAACTTGATCATGAGGAACAAGAACAGGCCTGGGAAGAAAGAAGCAAGACAGACAGATGTGTACTGTTGGGTCTAAGACGAAGACCGAGAGACAACATTTTTGTAATGCTCTGCAGTCTGGACGGGGTGCTCCAGGGAAGGCAGCCTGGGCCAGCAGGGCACTGCTAGTGTACAGGGTGCTGCGGGGGGCTGGCACAGACTGAGGATCCCCTGGAGGAAGGGGTGGGTGGTGAGACAGTCAGAAGGCTGCCTACAAGGTTATTCCACTCGAGGACAGGTCTGTGTTGTCCAAATAAGGGCCCTGCCTTATATCCTATAAATATTATCTATCTCCAGATCTGGGGACCACCGGCCAGGAAGATGGATATGTTGGCACCCCCCCCTTGGGATCTCGGCATTTATGGTAAATATGGCAGTCAGGTCACAATGTCTTCCCTTTAGACAACATGAAAGAGCAGCAAGAATTAAACTAACGATGCACTGCCCATCCAGCGCTTGTCCAAATTATATTCCAAAACAATGACTTCCTCCAGAAATGTGTATTGCTACAAAACATTTGGAAGAAAACATCTGAGATAAAATGATTTTTTGTTTCTTGCACAACCATACCCTTGGCACTATGTCAACATCTACCATTTCAAAGAAAACATTGATATGAGGACGTCAAATATTAAAACAACAAATCAAGGGGCTGGGGATTTAGCTCAGTGGCAAAGCGCCTGCCTGGCAAGCGTAAGGTCATGAGTTCGGTTCCTGGTACCGGAGAAAAACCAAAAAAAAAAAAAAAAAAAACAAACAAAAAAAACAAATCATATGTCTTCTGCAGGAAAATAAGGAACTAAGCCTTTCATGTGTTTTTGGCAGGGATGTGGTAGGCTTAGGATTTGGAGTGAGACTATGTTTCTCTTTAACATGATAGAATTGGGGAAAAAGACACGTTATGTTCAGCACACTCATCCTTCAGATGGTGAAACAGTTCCTTGAGAAATGAGATGACAAATGCATTTTTGGTTTTACAAAATCGACTCCTGTTTTTCTTCAGTTGGTATTTAATTGGCAATAAGAATATTTTCCACAGAGTGAACGAGACACCTGGGGCTCTCATTGGTAATGCATCGGGGCTGTGGGATCAATGGCAGAAGATCATTTCAACTTCCTTTGAAAGGTAGAAGGGAAGCAGGATTTGCCAAGCTGGAAGTAGTGTGACAACCACGTAATGTGGAGCTTTTTCATGCAGGGCCACATTAAGCTTCCGGGTGACATCCATGTGAGAGTTTGTGTACTAGGGCCACAGCTCCCACCAACTCCTAAATGGTCACTGATGTAAAGTAAAATCAAAGTGAAAGAGTCAGAAACAGAAGTGTATTTTGGAGAAAACAAATACCACCACGGAACTGAACAGTAACGGGAGGGAAGCGTTTGCTTACACAAGCACTTTTCTGAGGACCAGGCCCCTGCGGGGGGGGAGGCAGAGCCTCCCTGCCCCAGGATGCAGCCCCTCACACAGCGATCTCCAAGTTTTACCTTTCAGTCTCCCCAACCTCATCGTTTGATGATGGAGGCTGACCAGTCCCAACATGAACAGTCACCAACCTGCAGACCTAGGAGAACTGATTGCTAAGTTCAGGTCCCCAAACCCAGAAGCTTAAGACTCAGGAAAAGCCATTCAAAGGTAAGACCACAGCCCAGTTTAGACAATCAGGATCCAATGGGATTATTGAGCTATTCAATCTTCAACTGAGTTCGTGAAGCCCACCCAGGTAGGGAGGAAATTCGGATTTACTCAGGCTACTAACTCAGATATTCTTCTCCATCAGAGACACCACCACAGACACACCCAGAAAAACGTGTGACTGAATGTCGGGACATCCTAGTGGAGGTGACGTACAAAACATGCCATTGCAGAGAGGTGGTTCTTTCTAACAGGCACACCAGCACCTGCATATCAAATATCTATTTTATCTTTTTTTTTAAAACTACCAGTTCCATAAACTGTACAGTTCTAATAATAACGGCTGGCCTTCTTCACTGAGCAATTGCTAAATGCCAGAAAATATCTGGGCAGGTCACACAGATCCATTCACTCAATCTTCACGACAGCCTTATAAATGAGGTTCTATTGTTCCCTCCTTTTACAGATGAAGAAATAGAGGCAGAGAGTTTAAAGGCAGATGCTGAGTTCAAATCCAGCCTGTCCTGGCACCGTGTCACCCTGGAACTTCTTATCCTCTCTTGTGGTTTGATTCCATCCCAGTAATGCTTCGCCAACACAAATGCTTCTGTAACTTCATTTTCAGAAACACTTTTGGTGCCTACAGGCACTTTTATAAACCTGACTTCCTCTGCAGGTATGTTGTTGTTGTTGTTCTTGTAAAGCCAAATAAAATTCAGTATCAAACGTGCCTACTGAGGTAGCAGATGATAAACTCGGAGAACACTAACTTGGTGAGGTGTAACTAGGTGAGTCCTCCAGCCCTCTTTATACACCTCTAAAAACTATGGCAAAAAAAGAGTATGGTCAGTGCTACGGTCTGAATGTTGAATGCCTGGCTGAAATCCTACCCCTCAAGAGTGTGGTATTTGGAGGCAGGACCTCCGCAAGGTGATTCATAAGGGTGGAGCCTGCAGGAGTAGAATTAGGGTCCTTACAAGAAAGGCTCTGCAGAAAGATCCTTGCCTCTTCTGTTATGTGAGGACAAATGAGGAACAACAGGTCCTCACCATACACAAACTGTCCCACCACCTTGGAAGTCCCACTCTCCAGAACTATGAGAAGTGCATTTCTGTCATTTCTATGCTACCCATTTCATGGCATTTTGACATAGCAAACCTGAACGCGCTGAGACTGTGTGTGGTTCAAAGATCACATGATTAACATGAGAATATTCCATCCTAACCAGATCTGATCATGAGAAACCTGAGCAGTGGTGATTCTTAGAACTTCAGCAAAGGGAGGGCTATGAGTCTACATCTTAATCCATACCTCTATCCCAAACAGATCGCATTATTAGGTTAAAGTAATTTAATATTTTAACTATATCTATGCCAAAACTAAAACCAACATGAGTGACTTCCAGGGCCATGAACAAAACAGAATACACAGCAGTAAGTGGGAACAGGAGCCTTCCCACTGCACTGCAGCACTCAAGCTTGCATGAAACGGGGGTGCAGGGTGGGTCCCCCAGTGTGAGCAGGGCCTCCATGCTGTGCTGGGAAACCACACTGAGCTGCAGCCTCATGTGGAGGCGTGAAGTCATATCAGGGACCTGGCAAATATTCTCAGCTGCCTGCGTGAGGGGTACAGTAAAAGGATGAAATAAGAAACAGACTGATTAGTAATGCATGACGGGGCAGGGAGGTCCATGCCTCGGGTGGGCAGAGACAAAGACACTCAAGTCAGCCACCGTTTACTAGCCAGCGTAGGGGAGCGGGGAAGGTGCTTTTCCCGGAGCAGCATAGAGGCTGTGGGAGAATGGGCAAGTTTGACATCATAAAGGAAACAAGCCAAGATCCATCTGCACACCTGGGTGCTAATCTCACTGAGAGGGGCGCGTGATTTCTACATTCTAAAACCAGCCCACAAGGCAAGCAGGAGAAGGACAGCCTAGGACATATTGTGTCCATTTATAACTCCTGGTCCCCAACAGAGTCAGCTCCACAGCCTGGAGGCCAGAAGCCCTTGCTGGCTCAGGAGCAGGAGCTCTGCCATCCTATAAAATCCTGTACAAGATCTGGTAATCTGAGCAAGTTTGTTAAAGATAACAATATGTAATATAACAACCACTGTTAATCCCTGTCGTTTGGTTTGAAATCCCATATTATTTTTAATGTCTTTGCTTTGTTTTGTTTGTATTTTGCTATTGTTCTTTTTTTTACTATTCTCTTTAAAATAAAAAAAGAAACTTTTTAACATAAAAAAAAACCCTATACAAGAACTGGCTATGGTGGGATGGAGGCAACTGTAAAATATTCATGTCAAAACACACTACGAAGAAAGAAAAGTGTGCATATGTGTGAATGAGCGTACACACATTTACACACACATTTACACACACACACACACCCTTCTCAAGGTGAGCTTGCAAACCAAAGTAAGAACAAGACATTAGGAGGTAAATAAGCCAAAGTACAGCAATCCAGAACAGGGAAGATCAGAAAAGGCAAAATTAACGGAACAGCTGAAAAATCAAACTAAACAGAGGAATAATAAACACTAGATGCCCGCTAACCACAGAATCAGAAGGCTGCAATACTGCATGGGATGATCCAAAATTCACAGACAGGTAGAGAAAGTAAACTGAGGCAGAGACGCCAAGTGCTCCGGGGCCAAGCTGGAGCACACACGGAGGCCCTCCCTGGCCGCCCTCAGTGGAGTTCTGAAAATGAATTCATAGAATGTTGCAGTGCTCATTTTTGAAAAGTGGATGGATCACGATTTTTCTAAGTTAAAAAAGTACATATAGTGTACGGCAAGTACAGACAGAATAGAGAAAAGTAAAGCCACACCTAGATGCTTTGTCACGAGGCCATGGAGTAGCCAGGGGAAAGCAATACTCTTTAGGTGGGACAGGGCAGCAAGAGCAGGTTACTTGCCCATGAGCACAGACATTACCACAAACATAGCAGCTGTGAAGAGCGTACACGTCTCATCTGTCTGTTGCTTTGTACGCGGTTTAGCTGAGTTCTCTGCATTCTCCTGCAGAATCAGCTTCTAAATCCACCCATGCGGCTGGCCGGCCAAACATATTTCCTTGCAGTTGTCGGACTCGTGGCTACTCGTTCCTTGAAAGCAGCAAGAAAAACAAGACTAAGGAGCCAGTCTTACGCAATTTCACATGATCACAGGAGTGGCGCCAGCACTGCCAAACAGCAGCAAGGCTCAGGTCCTACCCAAGGTTAGGGAGCTCATGGAGGTGTGTGGACCCCAAGAGGCCACCATAGAGGCCACCTTCAGCTCTGTCTGCCACAGGTGACCACAGATATCTCACCAACAACACCCACCAGGAGACACTGGAATAGATACCTCACAGTGGCAGAGAAAATAACTACCTGTCCCAGGAAGAAATACCATTAACATCAAGGGCCAAATTAAGGCATTTTCAAATAGGTAAAAACTTGGGAAGTTAATTACCCATCTTTCTCTCTTTGTCTTTCTTTCTTCTTTCTTTCTTTCTTTCTTTCTTTCTTTCTTTCTTTCTTTCTTTCTTTCTTTCTTTCTCTTTCTCTCTTTCTTCCTCTCTTTCTTTCCTTCCTTTCTTCCTTCCTTTCTTTCCTTGCTTCCTTGCTTCCTTGCTTCCTTCCTTCTTTTCTGGTGCTGGGGATTGAACTCATGCTCAGCAGGGGCTCTACCACTGAGCTATACCTTCAGGCCTCCTCCTGAATTTTTAAGGAATATATTTTTACTTGATATGGCTAACTACTGATAGTAAAATATTAAATATTTGGTTGCACTTTACCTTTAAAGAAATAGATCCAAATCCCAGGTAGCAATAACAGGAAGATGCGGAGGTAAGAAGGGAAGGAAGCCTGGCACACTAACTGCTAACACAGCCTTTGCTACTTGGCCTGAAGAGGCTCTGGATAACTTCAGGTATCACTAAGAAACCACGAGACAAAATAAGCACACTCAAATCCAATTTTACCAAAAAAAATGAAGGAATATGTTACAATATTCATATTACCATAAGAAGAGGGGAAAGGCAGATCTAAAACAAAAAACAACCAAACATACACAAACAGCAACAAGCGTCTCAATGTAACTAAGGGCAAAAAAGCAGAAAACATGGTGCAGGGTAGGTGGGAAGAAGCCCAGCTGGGTCAATAGACGTAAGAAATGTAAAATGATTGTGCTCAGTTATTAAAGTATGCTGTTGTGAAAGATACAGCTAAAGAGCAATTCTCCGATTTCTAATGAATCGCCCGAGGGTTTTGTTTAAAACGCAGATCACCAGATGTAGCCACAGAAATGCTGATCCCATAGCTCTGGCTTCTAAACCAATAACCTGGAGAGTTGAGTGAGGCTCTTGTTTCTGATGATGCTGATCTGAGTTTCGGGTTTCCAGAGCCTCCAGTTCTCCAGCCTTGTGTCAAGACCTTCACGGTTAGGTGTAACAGTGTGGACCTTAACTGTCCCTCAAGGGCCCATCTGTGAAAGGCTGAGTCCCCAGCCTGTACAGCTATTGAGAAGTGGTGGAACACTGGGAGGTGAGGCCTGAAAGAAGGAGGTCAGATGGCTGGGGTATACTGTTGAAGGGGGGACTAGGACCCCAGCCCCTTCCCTGGCTGCAGGAGGCGAGCAGCCTCTCTGCAGGAGTGCCCGCCATGATGTGCTGCCCCCGCTAAAGGCCCAAAAGCAATGGCCCCAGGGGCTATGGACTGAACCCCTGAATCCGTAAGCCAAAGTAGCCCTTCCTCCTTGTGGTGGCTCCTCTTGGGGGTTTTGCTACAGTGATGGAAATCTGACTAACACATCAGCTGACTCGACTTCTTTCAGCTCAGCTTTCTCTGATCTGGCAGGAAGTCATTCTCCTTCTCCACACCTCCAATGCTTGTTTCATGCAGGCTATGAGCTTACTGAAGACAAGAGCAGCCCCTCATTCCCTGTGCTGCCCTTACAGCACTTGGGGTGCCAGAGCTGTACTGGGAAGCCCTATCATTTCTTTGTCTATGTGACGGGTGTCGGAACCAAACTGGAGTCACTTACGTCAGGCCCGGGGAAGTGGGACTGGGGAGGCCACGACGGGACGGCCCTCACGCACGGTTTACCTGATAACAAACTATCACAAAAGACTGACAACGCCACACTGCACACGAAGGATTTCAACTGCCACACAGAGGCCACTCTGCCAGGATCCTTCTCGGCAACTACCTATTCAGCCTCGACTGACACTGCGCTTGTGTTGATCCTGTAGCCAAGCATAATTGTTCCAGAACAACCTAAGTAACCTTCCTCACTTCACCTGTAAAAGCTCGGGTCTTCCTTTACCTCCCCGGATGTGCCTTTGTATCCCAGACTGCAATCCTCTCCTTCATTCTCAAATTATTTCTCCTTCTCCTTTTCCTTCTCCCCCTTCACCTCCTCCTCTTCCTCTGCTTCCTTCTTTCAGAAGTCACTGTCTCTCTTGTCATTTGGATGAGCATCTGTGAATAAGGAAAGAAAACAAAGCCTGAGGAAAGGAAACTGGATGAGAGCGGAGGGAAGGGCACATGCGCAGAACGTGATGGAGTCTTAAAAGAGGAGCGGAGTAGAGAGGAGCAGGCAGGAGAGAGAGAGGAGGGAGGCCAGGGCCAGAGGCGGCCACCGGGAAGCGTCCTGGTCTGGTTCATCGCTTCCCAGGCTCCCGAGCTGCAGGCTGAGGTCCAGCGTGTTCTATAGCTATTGTTGCTGCGGCCCGCACAGATGAAAGTCAGACAACATAATCCAAAAAGTGCTGAACTATGACGGCCAAGTCCTCAGGGGTTTATTAGACTTTACTTTCCTCAGACCTTGAGGAAAATCTTCAGCTGAAATCCATTAAGCGAATTAAAGCACAGGAGAAAAACAAACATAGACTGATGTAGATAGCAGCTTTATGGGGGCGAGGAAGCAGTGGGTTCTGAAGGAGCTCCCGGCTGTGCTTTGTGCTCTTGGAGCCCAGCTCCTCCAACTCATAAGATCTGTGCCCTGTGAGATACCTTGCTGGCCGCCATAAAAGAAAATTCATAGACACCACACCCCCCCCGGCCCCCGCTACAAGCGCCGGTACAAAGCGAAGTACAACATAATCCTCATTGTTTCTCAGACAATCCTGACACCAGGCCTTTCATCCTTCTGTCTCCAGTCTTGGACGCAAGTAACCACCCCGAGAGGGTAACACACACTGCCACGCCCCATAAAAAGTGGACCTCAGATGAAGCCAAACCACTTTAACCTACATTTTCCCCAAAGCAGAAGCCGGCATGGTCAAGGATCCCTTCAAATTTATATCCAGGGGAGGATGATTAGCTGTATCTCTAACACCAGACGTTTGTACCAGATTCCAAATCTTTAATAATGCAGAGCAAAAACAGATTCACTGCACCCCTACTAAGTGCCAAGTACTATGCATGGTGCCCGCAAAGAAGATGAGCAGTGGACTCATTCAAGTCGTCTCGCTTGGGCATAGCACTTTGTGAATTTGTTTCAGGCATTTCAAAGCAAGGGAAGGAATATTCCCTCAGGGCAAGACTGTGCTCTGTGCATATTTTCCTAAGGGGCAGGGGGGAAGCCAGTGCCAGTTTCCATTTTGCATGCTGGGCATCCAGAGGTCCCCTGCCTTCCTTACGTGCCCTGAGGATGTGGAAACTGAGGCGGGCCTGGCCCTGCAGCAGGATTGGAACCTGATCGTGCAAAATCACAGGCATTGTGTTTCCACACGAAGGGAGGAGAGAAAAACCTGAGTCATCTGAGCCCATCAGAAGTGGAAACTACTGTATTGTCTTTCGGAAATGTCACAGTATTCCTTCTCCTCTGTGAACAAAACAAGTTGTACCATTTGTTTAAGTAGATAAATGTGCTGCTAATTACAAAGCACAACATCTTCAAGTCTAGGTTTTCCTTCAGTCCAAGTGTCTGCAAAATGAGCCCGTAAGAATCCTCAAGTTAGCTGCTGGTCTCTGGACCCCAAAAAACAAATTAAATCTGATTATCTTTTTAAAGCAGGGCACAGAAAAGGCATAACCAGTTCAAACCCAGAGAAACCTCAGACTTTATTTTTGCCAGCTCTGTTAGTATGTTTTCCCTTGAAATCCTTCCTAAGAGCAGCTGTGAGAAACCAAATGGGCCCGCTTGGCCTCTTCCTTTGCCTGTCTTTTCCCACTGGTTAGCAGAGACGCTAATTGCCAGGAAAATGCTTGGATTGTGCAGAGACCAGATGAGAGGTTCAGATGTTCCGCAGACCAGTTTATCAGTCCAAGGAAAAATCAAAAGGGACAAGAGCTTCCCCAAAGCCCTATGTGAAATTAGAAATAATAACCGCCTGGGAGCAGCCATGAGGGCTAGCATTTGTGGAATGTTCGGTTGTGTCAGTGTCAGATACCTTGACCACATCTGGGCTAGCAAGCCGGATATCAGGCGATCTGGGACCCTTGGCTGGTCTCAGGCAGCCTCATTAGCAGCGTGGACTCTGCTGCGGAAAGCCAGACCGGTACCCAGCAGTACCAGCTTTTGTTCAAAATGTGCAAGGCGTAGGGCAAGATCCCCGACGTGTGCGCCCTAGCTGCAGCTATGCCTGCCAGGTGGGTGGCACCCCAGGAAACTTGGCTGATGGCTCCCTGAGCAGTGAAGTGGGGAATAGGCTTCCAACCTCTGGGGGCTTTCAAAGGGTAAAGGGACTTTGATTAAAGCAGACGGAGAAACTTTTCTCCAGAGAGTGTGACAGAAACGACAGCCCCTCTCTGGGGCAGAGTGCCCTTCCTCAGCAGGAGCCCCCGTGCACAGAACTATACTTCCCAGCTAAGTTGTACCAAGCACGTTGAGTAACAAGCAGTACTGTGCTGTTCTTGTTTTGAATTGTGCTAGACGATTATTACATTCATAGAAGAACACCATGACGAGATTGTCATTTTATACTGACATGGGTGGGTTTGTGGAGAGTGGTCTCTCAGGATTGATTTTTAGTTTATTATTTTCTGTTCATTAACTGAACTGGCATGGACATGCCTTTGTAACTCAATATTTCATAGGCCTATCTATCAACACTAGGTGTTTCTTAGAGCAAATCACTTTTTTAGAGTAAATAACTTAATCACAAATATTCACGCAACAAATAGCAAATGCTTACTTAGAAATAAAATTAAAGCTCCATGTTAAAATGCACCAAGGTAACTCTCTGGGCTTCAGACTTCTAATCTACATGAAAGAACCGATTTTAAACATCTTTGGGGAGGGCCTCCTGTTTTAAAAAAAGAAAATCTCATTTTCATTGGTTTTATTGTTTGTTTATAAATAGTTGTCTTTAATCTGTAAACTTCAAGAATCCAGATTCATTGCTGTGATGTTTTTCCTAAATCTAAATTATACGTCAAAAAGGTCACCAGAGGCTTCAGTTCTCACCGTTGGGCTCCCCAGCACTGAAAATGGGGTAAAAGTCAGCTGGAATCTTACATACAGCTTATGCATTGCTGCAAACCTCAGATACAGTAAATAAATGACAGCAAGGGAATGCAGAACCTCAGAACTGCTCACATAAAACTTGCTTCCCACTGGATAGTGTGACATCATCAGGGTTCCGGCAGCCAGGGCCTTTGTACTGGAGGACAAGCAAGCTCAAGGTTAGGGAGAGTGTAGTCGACACCTCCTGCCCAGGGTCAGGATCAGAGGCATAACCATTCCACCACCCCGTTCCACCACCGACAGGAGCCAGCAGCTAGGAAACTGCTAGCCTTCTGGTTTTTTCTCATTCTGGGAGTGCACGCTTGGATGAAATGATGGAAAAAGTCATACCACACAGACATTTTCCCTTCTAGAAGTTAAGAAGGGTTCAGCCACAGTGCATGCTCTTTCTGCATTTATCTTGGACTAAAAAAAATTGGAAATGGCCATAACATGACATGCTGATGTGTGGGAATAAAAATGCAGAAGGCTTATAGGATGCTGGCGAAAGAAAGAGGTTTACCCCGGGTAGGCACTTGTAGGGTAAAAGTACGAAGCATGTTGTGAACAGGACTTTCTCTCTCTCTCTCTCTCTCTCTCTCTCTCACACACACACACACACACACACACACACACAGAGTTTCTCCAGTACCTGAAGAAATGCCTGGGGTACCACAAATGTTAGCAAATTTGTTTTTTGTGGAGTAATCAATGTGATCTGACTGCCCCGAACTGTGTGCCCAGAGTATTTTTGAGTGTTCAGGGCCCTGGAGAACTTCATTATGCATTTGGCAAATGTCAAGGAACAAAAACAGTAAGAAAAGATCCAGTATAAGATGGGTGTGGCATGAAAGACCAGGGAAGGACACGTATCCTACCCATCCAGCTCCTCCAGGTGGCCAGAACACATCTGCCAGAGAGCTGTCCAACTTCAGCAGCGCAGGCTTGAAAGCAGCAGCTGCTAACATTTTGACAGTCCCAGAGTCCTTTGGGAACTTAGTCAGGTTTAGTCTGTCCCTGCAAAAACGTGCTCAAACACTCTTACTTTGTTTATAGTTTCAGGGAATTTTTCAAGTCACCTGAAATCGTGCACTAAGAGCCCTTCCTAGAAAACATCCCTGGACCTTAATGATGAATGAATCTTCATGCTAAAAGGCCTTGTATGTTTTCTCCAAACAACTCTCTAACCTGCCTGTTGCTTTTGGCTAAGCCTTCACTTTCTTCACCATGGCAAGAGTTCATAGTGATCTCTGCTAATGATGATAATAACCAGTATCTGCTCAGCTCTTGCTATGTGCTAAGTACTTTTGAATGTAAAGTGTGTATTTTCCCATGTGGTTTTCATAACCACTCTATTAAAGGGGGCGCGGTTGTGACCTGGTTTTACAGTAAGAAAATGGCCCAGGAAGGTTGCTGTAGCTTGGATCACGAGTGTTCTGCAAAGGCCCCTGTATTGAAGGGCCAGTCCCCAGCCTGTAGGACTATTGCAAGGAGATGGAAACTTCAGAGGGTGGGGCCTAGTAAGAGGAAGTTAGGTCATTGGAGGCGTGGCCTCGAAGGGGATACTGGGACCCCTTTTTCTCTGACCCAAGGAGACAGAGCCCCCTGATAGGAAGTGAAACCCCGAGGCAAAAAAAGCCCCTCTCCTCCTTCAAGATGATCATTTCAGGAGTTTTGTCACAGCGATGGAAAGCTGACTAGCACAGAAGTTAAAGCAATGACTAATAGTTGGAAGGACGTACGTCTCTATCCTGGAAATCTGATCTAAGATTTTGCATCCTTAACCTTCCAATTTGCTTTACTCATGAAGCTGTTGCTCTCCTACACACAGCAGTGATGGACGATTAACATTGTGTCTGTATTTAATGCTCCTGGTTTGAATCCTTTAAAATGGTAAAATAGGAGATGTTATGCTCTGTGTGTTTTACTACAGTACATACATACACACATATTATGGATACACACAATACATACTTACTGCATACATACAAAGCCAGGGCTGCCCGCAGCACATGAAGGTGACCAAGTCTACGTGTGGTTTGTGTGGGTTTCTGCGCTGGCTGGCCCATTTGGGTGAGTGGCCAGGTACGCTTACAGTTTACCTGTGCTGTTTGCTCTTACTTTTCAGGGCTCCCAGATAAGAAGGCTAAGAATAATGTACCCATCCACTTCTTCTTGTTTGTTGCCGTACACAGCAGTTTAGAGGAGACAGATATCATCCGCACAGTTCCATTTTGTACCCAGAATAAGTAGGATGAGACTATGCTAACAGGACTGACTGTATCAGTGGGGTGACATCAGTTTAACGAAATACCCGAGTTCATCTGCTTATAAAAATAAAGGTTTATGTTGGCTCACACCCCTGAGCTTCTGTCCATGATGGACTGGCCTCACTGTTTTGGGCCTGTGATAAGCAGCACACCATGGGGAAAGCTGTGAGAGAGCCAAACCACTACTCTGGTGGCCAAGAAGCAAGAGATGAAAGGCAAGCAGAGTCCCCCACCTCTTCAAGGGCTCACCAAGTGACCCCAAATCTCCACGAGGCTCCAACTCTTAGGAATGCACTGCCTCCTAAGGGCAGCAGTCTAGGGGGCACACCTTTTGTGCATGGGCCTTTGGGAGATATAAGAGCCTACCATGGCAAGGTTAATATGGCCAGTCTTATAAAAATGAGGCCTTCAAAGAACAGAATACAGTGTTCACAATGATTCGTAATGAGAAAACTGACTTTGAAGAGTGATGATAGGATATTAATAACGGTTGTTATATTACATAATGTTGTCTTCGGAATGGCTGCACATATAACCAGATATAGAAATGTAAGATTGATCAAACAATTACACATTAACAGTTCCTTTGTTTATGTGTTTGTTTTTGTTATTTTGTTTTTTTTCTTTTTAAAAATGAAAAATTTTGTTAGATTTTTTTCTTTTTTAAAATGAAAAACAGAATTTATATGTATATATAAGGATAGCTGAAATAGGTGTATGGCTGATTCTGTGGTTTATTGAAAGGAACAGTCAATGCTTAAAATTTTCTTTTCTCTTGACCAATTTCGCATGCTTAAATCTGGTAATCAGAACGACTGATTTGAAAACAACCGTATGCAGTATAAGAACCATTGTTGAACTCCTACCATCTTGTACAGTGAAGCTCTGCATCATTTCCAATGTTTTTTTTTTATTACTTGTTACTGTCTTTGATTGTTTGATCAACCTTACACTGCTACGTCTGGCGGACTGTGCAACTTCATTGAAGATAACAGTATGTAATGTAGCCACCGTTGTTAATTCCTATCATTCTGTTTTGTCATGTGTCATTTTTGTTGTTTTTGTGTTGTTTTGACTTTGTCTTCATTGTTGTTTTGTTAGATTTTTTTTAATCTTTAAAATTAAAAAAAAAGAAAAAAAGAAAACTGACTTTGGAGTCTTTTCTGCCACCCGTTTAGTGAGTTTCTCTTTGGTGAAGTATTTAAATGTGTTGTCAGGTAGAAAGATTAGTTCACCATTTGTATTTTACATTATCAAGTATGTCAACTGCACTGAACTTCTCTGTAATAGGTGAACACTGGCCATCGGCCCACTAGCAGATTCTGACATGTCTGGGAGGCCCTTCAGACAGATAGAAAAGTTGCAAAGAGAGCAGAGTCCCTGCACGCCCTCCTTAGCTCCCTCGGAGAGCACCACGCCTCCCCACGGCATGTGGGTCAGAGCCTGGAAACTAACCTCGGCAGAAAGTATCAACCGCAAGTGTCATTCGGGTTTCATCAGTTTCTCTAATGTCCTTTCTCTGTTCAGGATCCAGTTAAAGAGACTACATTGAGTTTAGTCATCATTTCTCTTAGCTCTTCCGTTCTGAAGAGTTTCTCGGTCTCACTGTCCATGACTTGGACACACCTGAAGAGCACTGCTCGGGTATTTTGAAGGGTGCCCTTCCTCTGGGCTTTCAGTGAGGTTTTCTCATGATTAGGCCAAGGCTATGGACTTGGGGAAACCAACCCCACCAGGGAAGCACCTTCTCATTCTGCTCTATCTGGGGTCCGAATTGGGACTCATCCTCAGTAAGGTAACGTCAGTCACTTGGCTGAGGTGGGCTCTACTTGATTTCCTCCCCAGAAGGTTATGATTTTCCCCTTTCTGGGTCTCTTGTGAGCAAGTAGCTGAGCCTATCCCTTACCCAAAGTGAGAACAATTAAACCCTATTTCCTGGAGGTTATTAATAACAGTCTACACCAAGTACTTAGAATGTTTCCATCAGCAAGATTTGTCAGTTCTCTCTATATAGCTATTTATTGTCATTCTTTTATATCAGTATATTTCCATAGATATTTATTTATTCTCTGTGTTATAATCCAGTAGTACAGTTGTCTATGTTGTAGTTACGTTGTCTTAGCTTTGGCCCCTGGTGATTCTTTCAGTTTGGCTCTTCATCTCTTTGATGTGTCCAGCCAGCCTATCCAGCAGTGTTTCTCTCTTTTTTAATACTTCCTTAGTTTCTTATACTAACAAGATGATCCAGGCACACCTTGTGTTTTTCTTGCCTTGGTCCTAAAACCAGCCAATTTTCCAAGGAACCCTGGATCCTTTTACTGGAGAGTGGCACTAAACGCAAAATCTGGTGATACAGAGGCTCACGGCTCTGGGAGTGCCACTGTGGGCCTTCTCAACATAGTTAAGAAATAAATGTATATATACTAATGTTTACATGCAGATCCATATTTACACTTGCATCTCTGAGATAGATAGGTGATAGATAGATAGATAGATAGATAGATAGATAGGGTCTCTGATTCTAATCCAGCACTACAAGATTCATCCCACTCTTCCTCTTTGCTTGTAACATTTTCCTCCAACCGTATGAAATCTGGCCACCATCATCTACAATTTATTTATTAACTTGTTTAATCCTCGTTTGCACGTAATACAGGTTTTTCAGAATTGCTAGCCCTTAATCCCATGAGAAGCACATTGATCACTGACATTTACTCCAGTGTTTATGTACATACCTTTTCATCTTTATGTTAGAGTATCCGGTGAAGACACACACTATTTTCCTTAGCTGCTGAGATGAGCATCCCTTTCCCCACTCCTTCAGTGGGGCTGTGCTGTACATTTGTAGCATAGTCAGGTCTTCCTTTCACAGTTTCAATTCCAACCTGGGATCCTCCAACATTCGGGTTGATTTTTTTTTTTTTCCACACAATGACATTCAGCATGAGACATACTGTCCTATGGGATGAACACACACATGAACTCATGTGTCCACCACTCCAGTACCATAGAGAACAGTTACAGTGCCTAGAAATTTCCCTTCTATGATCCTTCACCAACCCCTGGAACCCACTGATTTATTTTCTGTTACCATAGTTTTGCCTTTTCCAGAGTGTTGTACAGATAGAATGTGTGCCTTTTGGGTCTAGCTTCTTTCACTTCACAAAATGCATTGTCCATATTGCTGTGAGAATCAGAACGTTTTATTGCTGAGTAATATTCCCGTTTGGATATACTAGAGTTTGTTTTTACATCCCCCTGCTGAAGGGCATGTTGTTGCCTCCAATTTTTAGTGAGTTTGTTTTGTGTGAAGGTAAGCTTTTGATCCACTTGGACAAATACTTTGGAGTGTGACGTTACTTTGTGTGGTAAATTTATGTGCAACTCTGCGAGTAACTGCCCAGCTGCTTTACAAAGTGGCCGTACCGCCTCGCGTTCCCACCAGTGAGGAGTGGCTCGGTGTGCCTCCTGCTCCACGGCCTCCTCGTTATGTGGTAGTGCCTGCTCAGTGTTAGCAGCTCTAACTGGCAGTGCGGTGATATCCAAATGTGACTGTAACTTTCACTCCCTTAGTGACAAATGGTGAGACATATATGCTTTTCTTTTCCGTGTGCATATTTTATGTGTCCATTCAGATGGTTTGCCAGATTGTCCATTTCAGATGGATTTAACTAATCCCATTAATTGGGTTGCTTATTGCTCAATGTGGGTCACATACATAGCTTTATAAGAATTATTTATAAATACATAAGAAAAAATATACAAGTATGTATTTATAAGGCTTTTATCATACTTGTGATCTCTAAATATTTCTCCCAAACTGGTAGCTCTTCATTTTCCTGAAAGTGCCTCCAAATAGCAAACGACTTAACTTTGATCCAGTCTACTTAATCTTTTCTTCATGGACTGCACCCTTTTTCTGGTATTCTATATAAAAACTCATTACTAAGCCCAACACCCTGCAGATCCTCTATGCTTACCTGTAGAAGATTTATTGTTTCAGGTCTTACACGTAGGTCTCTGGCCCGTCTTGCGTTATTTTACGTAAGCCATGAGGTGCGTGTCCTGTGTGTGCTTCATTTTGCTTTTGTTGTTGTTTTTCACAGGCAGCACCATTGCTCCAGTAGGATTTGTTGAAAAGACTGTCACTTTCCCACGGACTTGCATTTATATTTTCATAAAAATTCAGTTGACTACATTTTGTGGGTCTATTTCTGCGGTCTCCGTGACATTCTGTCAGTCCATGTGTTTATATTTCCCCATGGTTCCCCTCCTCTTGATCACAAGAGCTTCACACTGCTTCAAAATCAGGTGCTGTGGGTCCTTCCATTTTGTCCTCTTTTCACAATAGTTTTAATTATTCTAATCCCATTATATATATATATATATATATATATATATATATATATTCGGATCACCCCACTGATATCTTCAAAGCAAGTTTCTGGGATTTTGATTGGGGTTCTGTTGACTTTAGAGGTGAAATCTCTAAATAATACTGAATCTTCAAATCCGTGAACATGAGGTATGTTTTCTACTCATTGAGACTTTCTGTGATTTTTCTTGTTTTCTACTTGTCAGTCTACAGGTCCTACACATGTTTCATATGCTGCTGTAAAGTTTGAAGTTCGATTTTCTATTGCAGGTATCAAAAAATATGAATGGCTTTCATATGCATATTACTTTATGTCTGCTAACTTGTCAAACAGGTGTTTTTGAAGAAGAAAACAACAGTCTGTCCTTTCTTCGCTGATGAGCAAAATCTTTTTCTCAAAGCACTTACAAAAATCTTTTTCTCAAAGCACTTACACATGCACAAGATTTTTAAGTATAATATTTATGACAGAAAAATAAAATAATTGAATATGATGTATAATGTTATATCTGCACAATATATTATGTAGGCTTAAAAATAAATTTCAACAAAACCTTTCTATTATTGACAGATTGGATATGAGAAATAAAATTATTAGTAACATGCAGCCAACAATATTCTACTTACATACTATATCTCAGAATTAATTTCAAATGTTCATTAAGCCCAAGAATACAAATAAATGAACCTTGAAACCAGCCCTTTAATAACTAATTCCCAAAGTCTTACACCAAAGTTTTCCAAAAACGTATGCTTTTTAAAAAAAACTTCCTGAAGGGGCTGGGGATTTAACTCAGTGGCAAAAGCACCTGCCTGGCAAGTGCAAGGTCATGAGTTTGGTTCCCGGTACCGGAGAAAAACCAAAAAAAAAAAAAAAAGGAAAAAACTTCCTGAAAATATTGTGTTAACAACAATTTAATTATAGCAAAGACATTTTGTGCTCTTAATAAAATTATAAGTATTAATTTCACTTCTATCTCCTTTTTCAAATTTTGGTCTTGTGTATGTTTACAATTTATGTAGCATATTAGTACAGAAGCACAAGATTATGATTTATACTTTAATACACACCTACTGGGGGTTCACTGTCCTTGCGGGGACTTGTGATCAAGTGGAAGAACTGCTGTAGAAATGAGCCCTGAGGCAGGGGGTGGTGAGTTCTCTAATGAGGAAGGCTGTTAAGGAGAAGAAATCAAGAGAGGTGGGAGATCCTGAATGTAGTTATCTCTGGCTGGTACTGGAATTAGGGTGTTCTGAGCACAGGGTATTGTGGCTACTCAGTGCTGGGAAGTAGAATTCTAGAATCTCTAGGCACTGGAGATAAAGGAGTTAGGAATTCTGCTTTTTCTAAGCTCTAAAGAAAGCTCCTTGTGTTAGGGAAGGATCACCAGTGCCCTGTGAGAATCAGTAAAGGAATGGCTTCCAAGAGTAAGCTGCCCATCACTGACTGAGTAGGTAGAGCCAGGCTTATCGCAGGGCATCACCCGAGAAACCAGTTTCTGCAGGTGGACAATAGGAATCCACTTTTTCAGGAAGACTAAAATTATTCTCACTGCTGGGCATGCTGGCGCACACTTGTAATCCCAGAGTTTGGGAGGTTGAAACAGGAGGATCTCAGTGAGTTCGAGCTCAGCCCAGGCTCCCTAGAGGGTTCAAGGACAACCTGAACTGCATAGTGAGACTCTGTCTCAAAAATAAATAAAATAAAATAAAATAAAATAAAATAAAATAAAATAAAATAAAATAACTCTGATGAAGCTACATGTTCCAAAGAATAGGCAATAGCCATCCATGGTTTGAAGGATATAGATCATAATGCTTGGGTCTATTATTGCTGCGGCTCCCACTCTGATTGTTTGAGAGCAGTAAGATTCTAAGGCAAGGGATGAAAGTAAATTTTAGTTGTAATAATTTTAGTTCTGCATCTCCAATCTTGTTAATGTGTGTCACAATGCCTAGCATGATGCCATAGGCCAGGGACCAGCTCACCTTTTCTATACAGTGAGATAATAGGTATGGTAGGCTTTGGGAGCTAGACCAATTGACACAACTACTGCTCGGCTCTCCCCCTACCTGTGAAAGCAGCTGTGGTGAGTATATTACGACTATGTGGGTGAGGCTTCTTTCCAAGAGAATGTAGAAAAGCAGGCCTTCTGTGCGGATCCTTGCTAGCGGCAAGTATGCGTTGCCTCCCTGATTAGGGACTTTGACACCTCCACGACTCTCTACTTGGACCCGGGTTGAATACTCATTTCTGTTTGTAGCCCAGCCCCCAGTGAGAGAATCTAGTGCTGATAAGAGAAATTAATGAGAAGTCTCCAGGCAGGGAGAGAAAATGCTCCTACATGGAAATCTGTATAAATACTAAGTTTACCATACTCAGAAGTCATCAGAAACTTCAGTTTGCCCTCTCTCCAGCAAGGCTGGGATGCTTAGGAAGACATACTATTTAAGGGGGGAACAGCTTATTGAAACTCGCAGCCAGAAGACAGACACAGAGCCCTTCCTCCTAACCACTCTGAGGAAGGCCTCTGCCCCAGGGCCTCCGACCCCACCAACTCTCCTCATCTTGTGACCCTTTGCCCTCTGCTGCCGTCCAGTCCGATGGCAGCTTATTGGGGGTCCCGCCGTGGCAGCAGTGGGGGAACCCAGAAAAACAGCACATTCACAATTTAAGACAAAAGACATTTTTGAAGCAATGCTCCCACGTTCGGAAAAGCATCAGAAAAGGTGAATGAAAGAAAGAGAAGGATTTTTGCTATTTTCCCTTCAGTGAACTCCCAGACAGTAAATCTTACAGCCGCCCACACGGGGCCACACCTATTTGCTCCCTGGCTGCAACGGAGCATGAGTTTCCACCTGTACAGGCTACGCTTTCTTCTTTGTAGCTGCTATTTTCTATCTATTGAGTTAAAATGAGAATCTAGCAATGGCCCCTGTGATTTCCACCTGGATTTCAATCAGGAAGAGGTCATTTCTTTGCTTTCCTGGCCCTGGGGATGAATGCAGCCAGGTGAGAAAAGAACCTGCCAACTTCTGCCTCTCCTGCAGTGTTTGTGCTGCCGAGGTCTTCTCCTGCTCTCCTTATGGAGGCTCTGAATGATCCAAAGTGACAGGAATTACTCCAGTAGGGCTGTTTCCAGCCCCAGCGGCTGGATTTCGAAGTTCCCCCGGGTGACAGATGTGATCTTGGGATAAGTCAAACTCACCTAACTGCTGTCCTGACTTTGACAGATTCTGCCTCTGGACAGCCTTGAGGATGAAGGCCGCTGGGGTCCTGGTCCTGATTAGCTGCCTGGTCACTGTCACAGAGCCCAAAGTCTACACTCGCTGTAAACTGGCAAAGATATTCGCGAGGGCTGGCCTGGATAATTACAAGGGCTTCCTCCTCGGCAACTGTGAGCTCTCTCCCTCCCGGCTCTCTCCCTGGCCTCGGGGGCTCCTCCGCGATATTGTGGGTCGTGGCTAGGGAGCTGCTCTAACTCATCTGTGCTCAGGCCTCGCCCGGGACGTGCCCGGGAGTCACATGTCCTCCTCACGCACTGCGCATCCCTCCTTTGCCTGCTCTTCGGGTCCTCGTGTCCTCGTGTCCTTATTCCTGGGGTTCCGTGCTTACTACACCAGGGAAGAGGGAAACAGTGCCGCCCTGTCGGCAGTATGGGGCACAGACCTGAATTCTAGCGCCGGGGCCCAGCCTCTGGCTGTGTGTGCAGCTTCCCGCGTGGCGTCCCTGCCCCTCGTGTGCCCCCCCTACCCCTCGTGTGCCCCGTGCGGGCGCCGCCTGCACTGCCCCAGCCCAGGTCTCCCGGGAGGGGCAGCTAGGAAACGCAAATAAGGAAATCATCCCCAAAACAGGCGTGGACGACGCCGTGCATTTCCTTCCCTGACCTCCGGCCTGTCACCCGCCCACAGGGATCTGCATGGCCTACTACGAGAGCCACTACAACACCTCGGCTCTGACCACCCTGAAGGACGGAAGCACCGACTACGGCATTTTCCAGATAAACAGCTTCACCTGGTGCAGAGACAAGAAGCTCCAAGAGAAGAACCACTGCCACATCGCCTGCTCAGGTACAGACCTGATTCTCCAGAACTATCCACAGGGACGGAGGGAAGAAGGCTGACCACACATTTCCGCCTTGACTGAAATTCAGAGTTCAAATTTGCAGGTGCATGTGTCCGGGGGGCCCATTCGTTAATCAATAGTGCCAAATGGTGACATTCACAGTCCTGTGTCTAGTTGTGCAAAGACGACCTGTTCCTTCTCGGTGGCTCTCCGTAAGCCCTCCACAAAACTGGGCAATGGACAAACAACCTCATCGCCCTGCCTCTGCAGAGACATGGGTGTTGTCCTTTGGAAGGCGAAAGCCCTTTGCCAGCTGCTTTGAGCAAACAGTTCATCCAGAGGATGCCGTTGTGCTTCCTTGTGCAGATTGAGGCAAATGCACACTCAACTTTTTAACAGTAGAAATTAAACTAGAACTCACTTCTAACCCTTCTACTTCAGTCACAAGAGTATAGCACTGAGAATAATAAAATACACCAGGCACAGGTTCTGCTTCACAAAGCCGTATGCAATGAGAAAGGGAATTTGCGCAGTGTGAATGACAATCACGGCTGTGGACTGGCCCTGGTGGGCTCCAGGGGAGGTGGTATTATCAAGTAAATCATAGAAAACTCTGTAGAGGCAATGATAGTTGACCTGAGCCTTGGAATACAGACAGACTTGGGTATTCAGAGGTAGCCATTCTAGGCAAGGGGACAGAGGAGCGAAGAGCAGCATATGGGAAGGTGTGGGGCATGGATGGGACAGTGAGACATTGTTCCTACGTGCAATAAAGGGGAAGTTGACGAGGACTCCCAGGTGCACAGGTGGATGAGCCTGACTCTGTAGGACGGTGAAAGCTGGGCTAAGGAGCTCATGCTGATTTCCACCTAAAACAGGAAGAAGGAAAGAGTAGTTTACAATCAGGGTGTGAGGAAGATTAACAAAGAGAGCACCCCAGAGCCACTACAATTGTGAAGCTGAGAGATGCAAAAGTCTGAATGGAGGTCATGCCAAGGGGAATGAGGAAAGGGACTAATGGAAGAATTGCTGCCCAGGCAGGACCCAGCCAGAGAAGGACTGTCATTTGCTAACCCTCCTGAGAATGGGATTTTTTCTGTTTCATTCACTGATGTATCTGCAATGCCCAGAACGGCAATGACCACTGTGAGTGCTCAGTAAATGTTTATCAAATCCCTGGGTGGAGAGCATGAGGAATAATAAAGTTAGGCATAAAATACATTCTACGGCAAAATTCTTTGGGAACAGGAAATAAGCTGTTTTAATGCCTCTTTGCCACATAAAAAATAACCAGTATCTGTGTTTGAATGTATGAATTATTAAATATTATGTTAATTTATCTAGTATATTCTCCCCACCCTTATATTAATGCAGAAAGGTCGTGATCCCCTGAGGCAGATCATGTAGTATTTTATTTTAGTTTTAAAAATAAAAGGGGGAAAACATTAACAGACAGACAACCTTTTACAAAATAGCAAAAGAACAGTATAGACAATACAGAGTTACAAACAAAGTGGTAGGAAATTAACAAT